ACCCTTTTGGTTCTCCGAGATGCCCTTATTTTTTCCTAGGCCAGTCAACCTAGCGGGTCACTTTCATGTGTAGTATTTTTTGACTATGTCCGTGTTCACAGGGTGCGAAAAATCTTCACCGTCCATGGTGGTAAGTATCATAGAACCGCCAGAAAATATCTTCCTGATTACAGATGGCCCTTTGTAGATGGGAGTCCATTTGCCCTTGGGATCACCTTATGGCAGGATGATGCGCTTTATTACCAAGTCACCAACATGATATACCTGATGCATAACTTTCTTGTTGAAAGCTTTGATCATACGCTTATGATACATCTGACCGTGACAAACAATCGTAAGCCTTTTCTTGTCAATCAAATTCATCTGTTCTAGCCTAGTTTGGACCCACTCGTCTTCGTCTAAATCGACATCTTTCGTAATCCTTAGAGAAGGAATCTGAACATCGATGGGTAGGACCACTTCCATGTCGTAGACTAGAGAGAATGGGGTTTCCCCAGTTGATGTCCTTACTGAAGTGCCATAGCTATGGAGAGAAAAAGGTAACATCTCATGCCAATCTTTATGCGTCACCGTCATCTTCTGTATAATCTTCTCGATGTTCTTATTGGTAGATTACACTGCACCATTCATCTTTGATCGGTACAAAGAAGAATTATGGTGCTTGAACTTAAACTACATGCAAAGTTCCGCGATCATAGTATTGTTAAGATTAGTACCATTGTCTGTGATAATATTTTCAGGGACGCCATACCGACATATGAGGTTATGCTTAATAAACAGGGCGACAACATTCTTTATAATGGAGGCAAACGAGGCTGCTTCAACCCACTTGGTGAAATAATAAATGGTGACAAGGATGAAATGGTGTCTGTTAGACGTAGTAGGATTGATCTCTCTAATCATATCAATACCCCACATTACGAACGACCAAGGAGAAGTCAAGACATTCAGAGGAACCAAAGGCATATGTACTTTGTCAGCATAAATTTGGCATTTGTGACAAGTTCTTGAGTGATGATGGCAATCAGTTTCCATGGTCGACCAATAATATCCTGCTCTCATAACCTTCTTAGCCATAATATGTCCACTGGAATGAGTACCGAAGGTTCCCTCATGCATATCTTCCATAATTTTCTCATCCTCCTTCTTGTCCAAACAAACGAAGTAAAGTCGAGTCATGGTTGCGCTTGTACAAAATTCCATTGCTCAGGAAGAAATTAGCAGAGAACCTCCATAGGAATTTCTTGTCATTGATAGATGCTCCCTCAGGGCACTCTTGAGCCTCGAGGTATCTCTTCACTTCATAAAACCAAGGCTTCTCTTCTACTTCGTTAGTATTAACTTCATAACATTGTGCTGGTTCGTCCAGTCTCTCAATGGTAATTCAAGGAGCTTCATTATCCCATCTGACTTTAAACATAGATGCCATGGTAGCCAATGTGTCTACCAACTGATTCTCTTCTCGCGGGATATGATCAAAAGTGATTTCTTCAAAGTATGAGATTAAGGTCAACACATGCTCCCGGTAAGGAATGAGGTTTAGATGCTTCATATCCCACTCTCCCTTAATCTGACTGATTACCAGGGCTGAGTCCCTGTATATGTTCAAGAACTTGATTATTAAATCAATGGCAGCTTTTATGCCCATGATGCACACTTCGTACTCAACCATGTTGTTAGTGTAGTCAAAGCATAATCTGGCGGTGAAGGGTGTATGGAAACCCTTGGGAGAGATAATTATGACCTCGATTCTGTTGCCGAGTGCGTTAGAAGCTCCATCTAAAACCATAGTCCATCGGGATCCTGGCTCAGGTCCTTCATATGGTCCAGGTTCTTCACAATCTGTAACTAGCATAATATTCTCATCCGAAAATTCAAAATTCATAGACTGATAGTCGTCTACAGCTTGATGAGCCAAGTGGTATTCTAGTACACTTCCTTTGATTTCTTTTTGAGTGGTGTATTGTGTAACACCCCGATATTTAATTATTTATTTAATTAAATATTTTTGAATATTTTATATTAATTCGAATTTTTATCGTCGAAGTCAAAATTATTTTATTAAGTTGGAATAATAATTAATCAGATTAATTTGGTGGAATTAAGTTGAAGTATCATTTTGTTATTAATCTTAATATGATATTGGACTTTAATTGGTGTTGTTGTGTAGTATTAAGGGGGTATATCACTTAGGCCCATTTGAGTTTACTAAAGATGAAATAAAATAGGAGTATTATATTGAATAATAGAATTAGAGGAGAAAGAGAAGAAGTAGAGTTATCAGGAAAGAAAGAAAAGAAGAAATAGGGTTTTGTGAGAGGAGAAGAAGAACAAAGAAATTACTTCTAGTGCCAAATTGCCCAAAAATTCGGTTGAAGTTTCTTAGAGCTGCACTTAATCCAAGGTAAGGGTGGAGTTCTGACTCTATAATAGGATGTGTGATTAATGGTATATGAAATTGAGTTTGTAAAATTATTTCTATTGGTGTTTGAAATTGATATATTGTTAAAATTGAGGGATAAATTAAGAACCCAATTTAATATTTTACATACTGTAGCGTTATTTTGTGATCTGTTGTTTCACTGTAGCGGTGTTGTGAAATTAAAATGGAAAACTAGTTCTTAGGTTACTAATAATAGACTAAGCATAATATTTTGTATATACACTACGTTGAATTATATATATATATATATATATATATATATATATATATATATATATATATATATATATATATATATATATATATATATATATATATATATATATATATATATATATATATATATATATATATATATATATATATATATATATATATATATATATATACACGCGCGCAGTGGAGACAAAAGCAATTATATTTGTGTAATTGAAAACAACCGACTAAGCATACCGCCTTGTTTTTAGTTCTTAATGATAGATCCATAGCTATATCAATATATACTGTATTGTTATGAATTATATATTAACATAATATATTGCTTAGTTAAGATATATTTATAAGTACTTGTAGAGATAATTCAAATTTACTAATAGTATAATAATAATTTTAATACTTTTAGTATAACTTTATAGAAGTTTTGAAGTGGAGATAAGTATAATTTAGTTAATTTTTATTATTTTAATTTTGTTAGAGTTGTCAATAGAGTTGTTAGAATTGTCGATATAATTATTAGAATTGTCAATAAAATTGTTAGAGTTGTTTTATATAATTAAAAGTCATATTTATTTGTTTTGCGTAATTCTGACATGTTTAGAATTGTCATGAGGGTAAGTTATTTTGCGTAGTTCTTACTCAATATATATATATACTAAGCGTTTATGTTACTGTAGCTTTAATTATAAATTGAGGAATATATTAGTTGGTTGTGATATATCTTTATAATATTAGTATATAAACAATTTGATGGTTATTAATATACTATAGCAGCAAACTTTTATAAATATTAGTATATACTATTTAATAGAGTTACTAGCATACTGGAGCGCTTATCATTCTTAAGTTTTGATAGAATAACAAGTTGGACTGTAACGGCGAGAATTACATTTCAGGTTTTACTAATATATAATAATAATGATTATAATACTAATAAAAATAAGTTAGTTTTATTAATAAACTAATTTTTAGGAGTTTTAAACTAGAGATAATTATTTTGGATTAATTGATTATTTTAAGTTAGTCTGAATTTCGATAGCAGAACCATATTATTGACAGTACATGTTCGAATAGTAGTGTAGTATTAATTTAACCGAGTCATAATAAGAAATTTAGTATAAAGTAGAAATAATATAATTTTTGGCCGATAATTAATTAACCGGTTTTAGTCGAAATAGTCCGAATAATTATGCGATTTATTTGTAGTAATTTTTGGTTGATTTGTTGGGTGATGTTTTGTTGAAAAATGTGAATTAGCAGGTGATTTTATTGCCTCTATTTATGGGCAAAATATTAAGTTGTAAGCTTATGGCCAATGTTGAATTATTGTTGTTGTTGTTATTACGTTCATGTCGTTAATGCATACATAGCATATCATGATGGAGCTGATGCTCGTCAAGTTGGCCTGGATTGGCAAATATAAAGTTGAAGGCTTATGCCTTGTTGAGGCCTCTATTTATTGACATATTTCTAAGTTGGGGGTTCTGCTCCATTGGTATCACATGTATGTGCATAAAAACGAGTCGCATTTCAGGTTGCATCCTGAGTTATCGTGTGGATGAATTAATTATGTTAAATGTTGATAAAAAGCTGTGAAGTGGTGAATTGTATGATCTAACACTACAAGAAAATTGACAGATTACGACAGGTATTTTTGTAGATTACGACGGTTAAAACCGTCGCAATTTGCTTTCCACGACGGTTGCTTTACCGTCGCAGAAGTGTGTGTCCCCAACCTATTTCGCGACGGTTACAAAAATTATCGTTCAAGTTTACGACGGGTTTGGAGCTGACATAATCAAGTATTGGTGACTGTTTGATACCGTCGTGACTATCTTTTGAGTTTCTTTTAATTATTGATGGCGACGGTTCGATACTGTCGTGAATATCTTTTGAAATTGATTAAATTGTTTATGGCGACGGTTCGATACCGTCATGACTTTTGTTGATTATTTTTAATTGTTGATTACGACGGTTCGGTACTGTCGCCATGACTTTTGTTTATGTCTTGATTTTTTTTTATTTTTCTATTATATATATTTTTTATTTAAATTATTATCTATGTAAAAAATTTTAAATATAGTTTTTTTTTTCTTTAATATATTTATTTATAGTATTATTTTTTGTTTTATTTTCTATCACTTTGTAATATAGTAAAAATAATTTCAATAAAAAATATTTAACATCAAATAAGCATTATAATATCCAAAAAAATGTGTGTTCCATAATCATGTAAAATGCGAGTTCCATAATCATGTCAAGTAGTACAAAAAACCCAAAATATATCAATTCCTAATCTTATAATAATAAGTATCATTATGCCAAAAATACATGAGAAAGTTCACAATCTAATTATCTCGATCATAGCAAAGTCTAATTTGTCCCCCCCTGAAGTTCCATTATCTCCAATACGGTAGCTAGACTCAGATGAACGTCTACCATCAGCGGGTGATTCCAATCCCTAAAAAAAGGTATTAAAATAATAATTTTTAAAATAATACTCATAAAATTTAACTTTAAATGCGTCAAAATAATATACCTGTCTTCCACTAAAATTCTGCATTTGCATTAAGAGTTCAATTTCCTTTGTCCTCGCCTTGTCCCTTTGCGTTAAGAATATGATTGCCTGTGTTAATTCATCAATTTTTGAATTCTTTTCTTTAAGTGCATTAATTTCTTCTTGCATTTCCTTTATTTGTTCACTTTCTGCAGAAGAAGATGTCGATCTGGAAACGATCGACATAGATGTTGTTTGACAACTTCCGCTAAAACAAACAATATACCTTATGAATAAAACAAAAATATTTTAGGATACAAGACATGAATGACTTCGAACATAGAAAAGTTAGCTTTTTTGCAAACAAAATTACTTCAAACAACATCTACAAACAAAATGACTTCAAACATAGAGCAAACCAGTTATAGATCTACGTATTATGTGTAAAAGTAAATACAAAGGAATTGGTTTGTAACATAACATGTTTGTAACAGGTTTGTAACATCGAAAACATGTTGATGAAGCTCAGAACAAATGTATACGATGACTGATGAACTGGCAGTACCTGTGAATGTAACCAAATATAATGGTAGAACTCCGACGGTGAACTGAAAGTATAGGGCTTTCATCATGTTCTTGACAACTGATTATTTGATTGTCGCCTATTATTAAAAATTGGAAGTGTAATGAGTTCACATATGACATTGGATTTATTGGTACTCAGAAATAACATAGAAATTACTATGTTGATAGTAAAATAAAAAAATCAAGCAAATATACAACTCTTATCTATAGCAAGGAACTAAAGTAGGGTAAGTTGTTGACATACATAATTAGAAAATGATTGCAAAAACCTTCATCAACAGATGATATATGAATTGGGCTTGAGGAATATAGATATTTATTGGCAACACAAACATATACAGTCAAGTTTATCACTATCATCATATATAGAAGCAAAATCATGGCTTCCTCAATTCACATAACCAGATTTTAACAGCTTTACCTTTACCAACAAAGCATCCATCTTCCTTTTATCAATCCTGAGTGGACTTTTCATCTCCATCAACATCTTCTGACCCAATGCTTTAATTGATGATTCCCCTTTTTCACTTCTATGCTTTCCAACCCCACAAACCACAATAATTTCAGCAATAATCTCAAAGTTGGAAGCATTCAACAGTAATCTTCACAAACACTCCACGATTGAATGAAACCGCATGGGTAAATGCAATAATTATAAGAGGAAGTTTTTACTATTAGCCTGTTAAATGAATATAATACATGGTATATCTTGTGTATACCATAGGAGTACTCAAAGTATATTGGTCTTGATGAACTTACTTGGCACAGATCGACTAAGATGATTAAAATTACCAGTCTCCAAATTTTGAGATAAATGCATCCTGGCCCGCATAACATATCACAAGAAGCGGATATATCAAGCAAATAAATGTAATCTACAAACAACATACCCAAGCATGATGCACAAGTTGTTTGTTACTAATAATTTTCAATTACAATCAAATATACAAGAATTGCATATCAAGTTATATGCATTACAATACCTTGATTGATTTCTTAGAAAAATGGCCTAACCCTGCAAACATTGCCTCTGATCCTGCAACATAGCAGAAAAAGTAAACAAATTAATTTCATAACTCAACTATGTAAAAAATTTAAATTATTTATAGATACTTTAACCTTAAATTACTTACTAATGACATTTACATCCCAATACTCAAATTTAGCCACTTTAACAACTCTTTCATTCCATAAGTGAACACTAACTTCATAATATAAAATTATCCACGAAGAATACGTTAAAAACGGAACATACGTGCCACATCAAATCTTTAAGAGACATATATTGTGGTTAAAAGGCTAACGATGTGCACATAAGACTGATTTGTTACCAAAACAAACTTAGAAATTAACTTATAACAAGCATCTAAGTTAAAGGACAACAAAATGTATTTAGCCAAACATGAAAAGCATCTAAGTTAAAGGACAGCAAAATGCGTTTAGCCAAACATGTATATGATCATAAATTACCTTAACAGTTCCAAACACATTCCATTCAAAATTACTGCCATATTATTTAACTGTTTTTGGCAAAAGCTGGCTACTTTAACCAGAATTGATTCATGTTCCCCAACAAAAGTGATACATAGCCCAAAAACAAACTACCTACACAGTTTTAAACCCATTCCATCCAAAATTACTTTTATATACTAAAGCGTTGTTTTGGAAACAGGCAAGAAGACCATAATGCTTAATCTTCCCGAACAAAAATCCATACAAAATTAAAAAGCATCAACAAAATTTTAGAACAATATTACCCGAGCAACATCCAAAGTGTCAAAACAACCAAAATCTTCATTGTAACAACATTTTGCCCATTCATGGATCAACCATCACAACTCACAACCGGAAGTTTGTAATCTTCGACAGCACTACACTTGTTCATATGCAAAGTACTTCATCTTCCAACAATAAGAGGATTCTTGTTCTTGTAAATGTAATAGCTCATACACAATTTATCTAAAGTTGCAACAAAATGCTGCATAGGATTTAGCTTTATATCCATCATCATTCTCTGCCATAATAACAACAAAACATTAAACAGCCTCCTAACAGCAACATTTTCACTTTACAATGTTAATATATCTTCAATTGAAATTAACATGACAACAGATCAAACCTGAAAATCAGCTCTATATTTCTCAACTAGCCGACTAATATAAAGACGCTGAATCGAAGTCAAAGGTTGAGGAAGTTCACTTTTACCATCTCTTCTTCTCTTTCCCAGTGCCGATTTCAAATCTACACCACAAAATTCATAAAATTTACATGCATTTCAAAAAAATATAAACAATTTCTGATACTAAAATACACGAAAATACCGTCTTCTTCGAGGTCACTGCCGGAATCGTTGGGGTCATCGGAGACAGAAGGAGGAGCTCGAAGAGAATCGGTGAGGGAGTTAGGGTCATTGACGACGCCGAAGGAATTGTAGTTTTGTGTGACGCTGCCTTTTTCATCCCATTTAGGGTCTTCTACAAGGGATTGTAACAGTTTGGGAGGAATGGTGAAAGCGGGTTTCAAAACTTTAGGGTTCTTCTTTGGAAGACCCACACGAACCTTAGGTCGAGAATTCTTGTATTTTCTTCGTGAGTAGAAAAGGTGAACGCAGGAGTAGAAAGTGAATTGATGTTTTATGTATTTTAAGAGCTTTTTAACTTTTTTACGGCGACGGGTGTTTTACCGTCGTGCCCATGAGAATTTTTAAAGGTTTTGGGTGCGACGGTTTTTTTACCGTCGTGAAATGAATTTTAGGACGGATAATTTTACCGCCGTGAAAGGTTTAAGGGTGCGACGGGTGCTTTACCGTCGTGATATGCCTTTTAGGACGGTTAATTTTACCGTCGTGACTAGTTGTTGGTGAAAAATCAATGTTAAAAGTGTTAAATGGGGGCCGACGGTTGTTTTACCGTCGTAATAATAATATTATGATGGTTAATTATACCATCGCAAAATAAATATTAGGGACGGTTGGTGTCAACTGTCGTAAACATTGTCTCTATATGTCAATTACGACAGTTATCACATAACTGTCGCAATTTTTGTGTCGTTAAACACTAATTTTCTTGTAGTGTAATACTAATATATTATTTATTGTATATCCGATTATATGGTTCGATATCTCACTCCTTATGTTTGAATGTTTCCCTCTTTTGGTAACGTGTATGTAATCAAGAAGGATAGTTGTTACCCTCATTAGTTCGAGTCGGTGTTGTCGGTCTGATACGTAGCACTCGGGGGGATGAACGCATGTTTTCTTTATTGTTGATTTTCATTATGTTGCTGAATTTTTAAGTTGTTTTTATTAAAGACTTGTTGTCTTAAGGTTATTTTGAGTTGAACAAGATGTTATGGTGTTTTCAGTTGAATTTTGTGAATCCGCTGCGTAGTAATGAAAGTTGTTTTATTTTTAAAGGCTAAATAGGTTGTTATCGATTCATCCAAATTTCATGTGTTATATATCTGAACTATAGATGATTGAATGTTGTAGTTTTAAGTTGAAAGTGTAACATTCCATTTGTTTATTGAAAATTTTTATAACTCTGATTTATTTAACTCGTTGGGTAGAAATAGGGTGTTACAATAGTGGTATTAGAGCAGGTCGACCCGTCTGGTCAAGTTGTCGAGTCGTAGTTTTGTCTAATAATTGAGTATTGTTAATCTGAATTCTAATTGTTGTTTATGTTGTAGAGATAAGTTAAGATGGATGGAAGGAATGATGTTGCACTTGCTGCTGCTTTACAAGTGATGGATTAGGCTATGCAGAATCAGCCGAATGCTGACGAGAATGCTGGATCTCGCAGTTTGGCGACTTTCCAAAGGGAGAATCCGCCTACCTTCAAGGGTAAGTATGATCCTGACGGAGTGTTGGATTAGCTGAAAGAGATTGAGAGAATATTATGTGTGATAGACTGCACTCCAATGCAGAAGGTTCGTTATGGTACTTATATGCTAGCGTTCAAGGCTAATAACTGGTGGCTAGAGACTTGTCAAAGATTGGAAGATGCATGTGAAAATGCCACTTGGGCTGTATTCCGTAGGGAAATTCTGAGGAAGTATTTCCCTGAAGACGTTCGTGGTAAGAAGGAAATTGAGTTTCTTGAGCTGAAGCAAGGAAGTATGTAGGTTGTTGAGTATGCTGCAAAGTTTTCGGAGTTGGCTAAGTTTTATCAGTGAGGCAAATGCTGAGTTTTCGAAGTGCATCAAGTTTGAAAACGGGTTGCGCCCAGAGATCAAGAAGGCAATTGGATACCACAAGATTCGTGTCTTTGCTGATTTGATTGATAGTTGCAGGATTTATGAAGAGGATAATAATGCTCACTATAAGATTATCAATGAGAAGAGGGGTAAGCACCAACAGAACCGTGGTAAGCCTTATGATGCCCCAGCTGGTAAAGGTAAACAGAAGGTTGCTTAGGATCAGAGGACTAGTGGGGGAGATGCTCTTGCTAGTTTGGTGTGCTTCAAATGTAGAAAACCTGGTCATAAGAGTAATGTGTGTACTGCTGAGGTGAAGAGGTGTTTCCGTTGTGGTAAGACTGGACATGTTGTATCTGAATGCAAGCATAAAGAGATGATTTGTTTCAACTATGGTGAAGGACACATTGGTAGTCAGTGTCGGAAACCAAAGAAGGCGCAAACCAGTGGAAAAATGTTCACTTTGGCTGAGACTCAGACATCTAGTGAGGACAGGTTCATCAGAGGTACATGTTTCATTAATATTACGCCTTTAATTACTATTATTGATACCGGTGCTACTCATTGTTTTATTGCTGCTGATTGTGTTGAAAGATTGGGTCTTATGTTGTCTTCTATGAATGGAGAAATGGTCGTCGAGATTCTGGCTAAGGGATCGATGACTACTTCTCGTGTGTGTTTGAATTGCCCTTTGTCGATCTTTGGCAAAGACTTTGTGGTTGACTTAATTTGTTTGCCATTAAGCGGATTTGATGTGATCTTGGGTATGAACTGGTTAGAGTATAACAATGTTCATATCAATTGCTATAACAAGTCTGTGAGGTTTTCTACTTCTGAAGAGGAAGGGGTTGGTTTGTTGACTGGTAAACAGTTGTGGAAACTGATGCAAGACGAAGCACAAATGTTCTCGTTGATGGCGTTGTTATCAATGGAAAACCAAGTTAGAATTGATGAGTTGCAGGTGGTGCGCGAATTTCCTGAAGTGTTTCCAGATGAAATTCCTTATCTACCTCCAGAAAGAGAAGTTGAACTTGTGATTAATCTTGTACCTGGTACCAGACCTATTTCTATGGCATCGTACAGGATGTCTGCATCTGAATTGTCTGAATTGAAGAAGCAGTCAGAAGAGTTGCTTGAGAAAAAGTTTGTAAGACCAAGTGTATCGCCGTGGGGAGCGCCTGTGTTGTTAGTAAAGAAGAAAGATGGAAGTATGAGACTTTGTGTTGATTATAGATAGTTGAATAAAGTGACGATTAAGAACAAGTATCCTCTTCCTACAATTGATGACTTGATGGATCAATTAGTGGGTGCAAGTGTGTTTTCTAAGATTGATTTGAGGTCAGGATATCATCAGATTAGAGTGAAAGAAGATGATATTCAGAAGACCGCATTCAGAACTCGGTATGGACACTACGAGTATTCGGTGATTCCTTTGTGTTACCAATGCGCCAGGAGTATTCATGAAGTATATGAATCGTATCTTTCATACTTATTTGGATCGGTTTGTGTTGGTATTCATTTATGACATTGTAATTTACTCTAAATCAGAAGAAGAACATGAAGAGCACCTAAGAGTTGTATTGCAAGTTTTGAAAGAGAAGAAGTTGTATGCAAAGTTGTCCAAGTGTGAATTCTGGTTGTAAGAGGTTAGTTTCCTTGGTCATGTCATTTCTGGTGGTGGCATTGCCGTGGATCCTTCTAAAGTCGATGTTGTGTTGCAATGGGAAACTCCGAAGTCAGTTACCGAGATTAAAAGCTTCTTGGGATTAGCCGGTTACTATAGACGGTTTATCGAAGATTTTTCTAAGTTGGCACTTTTGTTGACTAAGTTGACTTGTAAGGGTAAAGCTTTTGTGTGGGATATTCAATGTGAAGAAAGTTTTATCGAGTTGAAGAAGAGATTGACGTCGGCTCCAGTTTTGACTTTGCCTAATCAGGAGAGCCTTTTGTTGTGTATTGTGATGCTTGTCTGATGGGGTTAGGTGGTGTGATCATGTTGCTTATGCGTCAAGGCAATTGAGGACTCATGAAGAATTATCCTACACATGATTTAGAATTGTCTGCAGTTATCTTTATGTTGAAAATCTGGAGGCATTATCTTTATGGTTCTAGATTTGAAGTGTTTAGTGAGCATAAGAGTTTGAAGTATATTTTTGATCAGAAAGATTTCAATATGAGGCAGCGAAGATGGTTAGAATTGTTGAAGGATTATGATTTCAGTTTGAATTATCATCCAGAAAAAGCTAATGTTGTGGCCGATGCTTTAAGCCGAAAGACTTTGCACATGTCGGTAATGATGGTTAAAGAGTTAGAGTTGATTGAGCAATTCTGAGATTTGAGTTTGGTTTGTGAAGTGACACCCCGAAGTGTTATGTTGGGAATGTTAAAGATTAATAATGAATTTAAATAGTATTAGAGAAGCTCAGAAGTTAGATGTGAAGTTGGTAGATTCGATGGTTGGGACCGATCAGTCTGAGAACAATGATTTTAAGTTAGATGCGCAAGGTGTGTTAAGATTTCGTAATCGAATTTGTATTCCTGATGATGCGAAGATGAAGAAAGTGATTCTTGAAGAGAGTCATAGAAGCAAGTTGAGTATTCATCCAGGAGCTACAAAGATGTATC